AGCGCTGCAGAGCCAAGAATGTGGGTTATAAAAGGATGATGCTGGTGAGGTGGAGAGTCAGATAAACATGTTTAGTAGCAGCAGTAGTGGCATGACAAATAAAAAGAACTGTTTTGCTGTACACTGGCTCTGATATTTCAGATCAATGGATCATTTCATCAACTTATTTTCTTCCTAAAAGTGGTTTAGACAGAAAGCGATGATGTTTTAAACCTGTGAGCGAATCAGCGCTATTGAGAGCTGTCTGCCAGGAACATCAGGGAGGAAAGCACTTCAAACTGATTAAAAGAAAAATAAGAAAAACCTAAAATTTGGATAAGCAGAACACAATAGTAACTATAAGATTTAATGCCAACAAAGATATTTAGATTTTTTTTCTAATGTTCTTATAGATTGTGGATTATCTTGGTTCTGCAATAAGCTGACTGTGGCATGAAGCCGTGTCCATTTTTCACCCACATTAAATATATTCATGTAAACTTTTAATTTATCAGTATTTTTTAAATCTTAAATGTACTGCAAGGTACCTGGTATTTATACCTAATTATGTTTATTTAAAAAATCTCCACCCAGCTACCTTTATATTTCTTGTCAACATTGTAGACCTATAATAAGAAATTTAGTAAGCACATAAAGAAAAACACATAAAAGCTAATGTTACGTCACTGTTTAAACAATAAGAGAAATAAAGTTTGTTTTAGCTTAATAAACAACAGCTCTGAAGTATCAGCGTGGGGTACATTTAGCTTGAAAATACGCATCTGTTTGGAGCTTGTTTTTTTGTTTTCTGCAGGATTTTTCTTCTGCATTCATTTGTTGTGATTGCGTGATTTGAAGTTTGCATCACTCACATTTTTGCACATTTGTGCAGGTATGCATTTTGGTCACCATATGAACATAGCCTTGTTAGACTTCTTTGTTGTACAGATTTATCTTTAATCCCCTCCAGAATCAACCAGGTACTGTGATTGGGTCACTCCATAACCTCCCAGTCAAAAGAGACACGTCAGTCAAACTAGAAGAACAGTAAAAACCTGAATCTGCCAGGGGTATGAAGAATTTGGAGCTTAAGTTTACCGGTAGGTCTAGTGTTAAAACCTATGTGATCTAAAACATTTAGATGGTACAAATAAAACAAAAGCTGAAGAAAGCTGCAAGGCGGGAAACGTATTTACAGGAATCTATATAGAGCAGCAACATAACCTTGGTAAATTGTGCACTTCTGCATTGAGCTTATACTTTTTTAAGCCACTAAGGTTGTTGTTATGTAAGCCAGTTATGACTGCAAGGGTGCTATGGAGACTGTTACTAAGGACACATCTAAAGCCTTCATCCTATACTTTAATACAACTGTTACATAATTCTTACATGCATTGGTGTTTTCTATTTATGTTTATTACAGTCGGGCAAAAGACGACTATAATATTTTAAGATAAATAGAAAAACAGGGTTTAAACAAAGCATGAGCACAGAAATATTTTACAAATTTAATGAGAGGTTTGTAAACATTATGTGAAGCCAATTGATAGACAGTGTGGTGGTCAGCCCGCTGTCAGGATCAACACAGAGGAAATGTGTCAGAATAAGCGGATTCTGAGTTGGACCTAATTGCTGACAGAAACATTGAAAGTTTCATGGAAAGAAACAATGAAAGAAAAATACTTACAAAAGTGAGGCATGGAAAAGGAATTTAGAGTAAAACAAAGAATATCGTAGGCGAATGTATAGAGGGACAAGTGGAGAATGACCCGGCCAATTGTCTGGGAAAAGTTATTACTAGTATTATTTCGGTCTGGGTTTAAACACTGATATGAAGTCAACAATTCTTGACTAGTTTCCTAATTCACTCATTACACATAATTACTAAAATATGACTTAATAGTCATTTTAAAATTCCCTTGTGTCTTTTAGCCTTTATCTTCACTGTTTGCATAAAATGACATGAAGAATCAATCACCTAAATGGTTTTATTATTGGCTAAATCATTGTTTAAACTATTATTTTACCATAATTTTATCTACTTCTTGGATTTGAATTGTCAATGGGTTTGAATTAATTCCAGTCTAAATTAGTTTAAAGGTACACTATGCAACCGGTGTTGATTTTCCAGCGAGGCTCCCCCCAGAGGGCGAAAGTAAAAGTGCACTGTCGTAAATATGCTCAGCTGTTCTCCTGGTTTCTCCGTCAAGCCAGGCGCGGTTGTTTTGAGCTTAGCAGACAGGCGAACGCAGCTGGCGCGACAGAAGCAGCGAGTTTACATGCAAAGTCAATGGTTGACGCGCGTCAAGGCGCAGCAAAACAGTTTATTCTTAAACAGTTTATTGATGCCTAAATTAACTTAAAATGCAGAAATCTGCCGGCAGAATATGTTCGCTTTTATTATCCTGCTGCCTGCAGTTTGGATTATTTAGATGAAAAACACCTACCAGCTGCCGCCGTGAACCGCGAGGAGGCGACCCAGCCAGAGGCTGCTGATGAAGGGATTCCAACTGTCGGCGCACCGTTGCTATGTGGGGGTCCGTAAAGCAAGACCGACTCTCGCGAGACTTTTGAGCCTGTGGGTGCGGGTCGGTGCTCCTGCAATTGCGGTTTTTCCCCTCCAGACCACCAGGGCGGCCGAGAATACCTTTGTTCAACCTGAAATGACTCATTTAATCATCCAAAACGTTATGGAACACATTAATTAACTGAAAAATGTTGCATAGTGTGCCTTTAAAACCTATTTTAAGCTAATTCCAATTTTTTGAAGATAAACTTTGGATCTAAAGCATAAAATTCAAACTAAAATCTGATATCATGTTATTATATTATTGGTAATGGTTTTTAACAATTTTTTTCTGTTTACACACCCCTGTATTTAGTTTATGGAGCTTCAGGAATTAAGTTAAGAGTTTTTGACTATAATATGTTTAACTTGAAGTTTAATTTTATTTAATTTTTGTTTAATTTTAATTTTTTTTTTTGGCAATTGATTATTTTTCACACTGAGAATAAATGAGACAAGTATATAATGAATTTAGTTCCATTATTGTTAAAAAAAATTAACATATTTTGTAAAAAAAAAAAAAAAAAAAAAAAAAAAAAAAAAAGAAATGTAATTCAGAAATTAAACTTTAAAAAAAACGCTTAAATACAGTTTTGATTTTAGGATTTTAAGTAACATTTTTTCTTTTCATATTTTTTTATTAAATTATTTAAATTCTTATCTTTTCTATTTTTTCACATTTTAATATTTTAAGATTTTTTTTTTTTTATTTGTATTGGTCAGACTTAGTTTTACTAATTGCATGCATTTCGATTTGCATTTTACAGATCGAATTCTCTTCACTTCGAGTCCAACACAAATGCTTGCTCTTGACAAATAAAACTGGTGCTGTTAACATTCATGCAGGCCGATAGAAATACATCTTTGCTTGTCTCCACATAGGAAAGCCCTAAACGAATTGTACAGTTCATACTAGAAAAGAAAAAGTTGCCTAGACTGACCAGGACCTGAATGACTGAGAATTTTCAGAGATATAACCTTAAAAAGAGAAATTTTAAGTCGTAGGGAAGCGGCTGTTTCAACCGTTGCATTTGCGAATTCTCCTGAGTGGCGCCCGACTTTACGACAAATAACACGAGTAAATAAAGTGAATGTGATTGGTTGATTATCAAGGGGGGATTGTTGTGGCAGAAGGTTCACAAGCATGTTTGGTTGTGGCCGCTTTCTCGGAAGCATCTTGCTAACCAGTTAGCCACTTAGTGCTAGTAGGTTCCCAATGGGAAATTCCATTGGGACCAAGTAGCACTAAATTGGTGACTTAGCAGTGACACTATCAAGGAACGCTATGGACAGCGGAAACATGTTAGAGGAGGAGAGCTTTGTGTAGAAGGCTTACAGCCGTACATGTTTAAGGACTGTTAGGTCTACGCCTGCCAAAGACACCGACGTCCATCCCCCGTGAACACTGGGACGTAAAGAAAATTATTTTTATTTCAACCGTTACGTATATTAGCTGGGACTTATGAATCAAGATGAGATGACTGGAAAAAAATTGATTGACAGATGACCGTTGATATATGATTGGCCGAATTTAGTTGTTCAGGCTGACGTATAACTAACTGGCCTGCATAAGATAACGGGGGGGATTTTTGGACAAGATTTTTTTTTTTAAATAGAAACTTTCTAACTTTTGGGAAAATATGATCTGATAAAGAATACATTTATATACATTTTTGAGTCAGAGTGATTTGAAATTTAAATATGACTTCCCTATGATTTCAAAGAGAGAAAAAAACATTAAAAAAATATATTATGAAAACTAATTAAAAAACACATAATTTTGAAAAGCAAAAATCTGAGAAAATAAGCTAATTTGCTCTTTTAATCCTTCTTTGTTTAATAATTTTTTTAAAATGTTATATTTAGATTGCTTTTTCTGTATTTCATAAAGCAAAACTTTTTTAGCAACAATAATGGGACAAATTTTACTCTATAGAAAAAAACATCAGCCTCTCTTATCTTTACATCTTCTGGTAATCCGGATCAAAAGGATTCATAGAGAAACTGAAAGATGAATGAAGTTCATTTGTTATGAGAAGTGAAAGAAGAGTGAGGGCAGATTCAAGCTGATGCTTTAAGGGATGTTTCTCCAAACGATGCAGAGGAAGTGAAGCGATCATAGTAAGAAGTTGACATGACTCAGCCTTCCTCGCCTCTACTGTTCAAAGGAGGAGTCATCGTCCGGTCAGACGACTCACCACACAGGAACGGATTTCTGGGAAAACAACCACGTGCTTCTTTTTTGGGGGGGGGGCTGTCCCTTCCTATCCTCCTCAGCAGAGACACACATTTATTGAATTTCCCGTCACTCTGCAATGCAGGCTGAGATTCCAGTTCCGTGACTGTGCCCTTTCACCTGCCTCCTCCATATGGATGCTATTTCATCCTTCCTTTTCCCTCTCAGCCTGGGAATTTCCCCAGAGTGTGTGGTTTGCTCACAGGGAAGGAGTTCTGCTGTTCTTTCTGATTAACACAGCAACATTTCCTCCATGGAGCCAAACTAAAGCACTGATCAGGGCGTGTAAAGCAGTCATGGTGTGGAGGCGTTCACCTAAAATATGCTTTGTCATGGTGCGTAAAGTGTGTGAGGAAATAAGTGAGCAACATTAAAATCTGAGATCTAGAGGATCTGCATATTCGTGTGTCCCTGTGTGTTTACCTCAGCCCACAGTGACTCATAGTTATGGTAATGACTGTAGCAAATGAAAAGCTCACTCTGGCTGTAGACAGCAGAGAGAGAAACAAGGCAGAAGGCTGAGCTCCTCATTACCTCCCAGCTGCTGCTTGGCTTGATGCGCGTCCGGATGGAGGAAAGCTTGAGGCTCAAACCATGTAGGATCCCTCAGTGCTTGGAGCAGGAATACTGGTTTGGACATTCAAGTGGGGACAGGTGATGCATCACATGCAACAGGTTAGTCCTTTTTATTCATTGAAGAGTTTCTTTTTTATTTATTTGAGTATTTACATCTTAACATGTGTTTAAATGTTTTGAACAAACACTTTTGGGCTATCAGAAAGCTTTGGATGATCAGAGGAGGAAAGTTTTCCCCTTTCATTTCACATTAATAACTCTTATCTTTAATTAAACAAAGACATAACAATACTTCACTAACTGCTTTATCTGTCAACTATTTAGTTGTTTATAAATGCAGTGAAGACTTTTGTGTTAAAGAAAACACGACTGGAGGCTGTCCAGCATTACTGAAGACAGAAATAGCTACAGAAAAAAAAACATCCTTTTCATATCAGCCTCATGTGAGATAAAAGCTTTATTTTCTTCTGCCTCACTGCTGATTTCAGGCAAGGCAATAAAGGGTCCAGACTAATAAATGATTTACCAGCAGCTCCATGAAATTCCCCAGTTAATCATCTTTTAGCAGCAAATTAAAATACTTTTGAGTTTCTTGGCATAACTAATCCCATGTATTTATGTGCTTCCCCTCAATGCCCCCCCCCCCCACACACACACACACGCACACACACACACACACACACAAACACACACTGCTTTGTTTTCATGATATATGGGGACATTTCATTGACTTGTATTCATTTTATATATCCTAACCCAGACTCTTTCCCTAACCCTAACTATTACCAACATGTACCTAACCTTAACCCTAACCTAAACTGAATAATTCATACCTTAGTCTTAATCCTAACCCCTACAGAACTTTACCATAAGGGGACCAGTTGAATGACCCCTATACTACCCATATATATATATATATATATAGATGTGTATTCATTCTCTTGCTTAAACAAATATTCTTATTTAACAGTCAGTGTTAAGCTTTTACTATCTATATATATATATATATATATATATATATATATATATATATATATATATATATATATATATATATATATATATATATATATATATATATATAGAATAGAGTAGAATAGAATAGAACTTTATTGATCTCACAATGGAGAAATTCACTTGTCACGTCAACTCTTATTAACAGAAGGTGCACATGTCATTTCTTAAAAACCTTTCACCATTTAATAGTTACTCTCAACATTTTGATCAGCTTGATCTGTTAATTTCATCTGACTAGCTCAAAGTAACAATATTATAAAATCAAAGGAAATATTTGTAAAGTCAACTGTAAAGTCAATTACGGTAAAGTCCCAGTTAATGAAGTTGAAGCGTTTTCTGAAATGATGTAGTCACAATGTGGAAATGATGCACGGTTTCCAGTTTAACGTTCTAAAAAGTAATCCTTGTCTTAACCTTTTTAAATGTATCTTTGTCATATTGTAGAAGGTATAGCAAGTGTTAGAGGTTTTTGAGGGTTAAAAACTAATTGTTTTCTGAACTTACACTAATGTCCAGCAGGTGGCAGTGTTGAGCGGGATGAATGAATGAACTGGTTTCTATGCAATTAACTACTAGTCTCATAATTATCTGTCCAGAAGTTTAGCGTCACATAATATTGTGAATTTGTTATAAACACAAAATGATGTTGTAAGAGCAAAAGATGCAGAAAACTCTTTTAAATGATTCTTTACAAGACAAGCACCCAGAGAGCGCAGACCTCTGCTAAGCAGCAAATTTTACCCCAAAGTGTGACTCAAACTAATAGCTCAGACTCCCAAAGTATTTGGATCATTACCAAATTTTTATGAATTGTTCTTTGAATCGAGGTGCACCTCTGGTAAAAATAAATAAATAAATAAAATAAAAAAAAATACATAAATAAAAAAAAGAAAGAAAAGAAAAGAAAAGGAAAAATACACAGACATAGACCATGCAAACTCACACCTAAGGACAATTTAGAGCTGCCAATTAACATAACAGTCATGTTCTTGGACTGTGGGATAAAGCCAGAGTACCCTGAAAGAACCCATGCAATCACGGGAGACCATGCAAACTCCATGCAGAAAAACCCTGGGAATCAAACCAAGAACCTCCTAGCTTCAAGAAAACAGTGCTACAAACTGCTCCACCATTCAGCTCCTCCATAAAATGTGTTCACACATTTTCAATTGATCCAGCTAACAAACCAACAACAATCTATTTCCTAGTGTTTTTGTCTTCAGTAGAATACCTTCTGACTTTTTGAGTCTGATGCTGAGGCTGTCGATAATCTCTGCTGCCACCCTCTGGTTTAGTGGGGAACTGCTTCTTCTGCCAAATATCCCTATCTTACAATGTTAGAGAATCTTTTTTTTTTTTTATCCTGTATCCAGATTATAATCTAGACCCTGTTCCCTAAAAATCTGTCCACAACGTTTCAATTTATGTTGTAGCTTCTTGGCGGAGGAAATAAAAGTATCTTTAAAGGACAAGGCATCTTTCTTCTAACCAGAGTCCTGAGATGATCATAGACTAGTTAGAATAAATAGGCACTTCAAGCTGGAGCCAGAATATCTTCTGTCTTTCAGAATCTGAAATTATTTCTAAACATTACACTTGAAGGATCTATAAACTGATGGGGTCCTACTGGCACTTCAGCTATACATAGCATCTGGCAGTGAAGGGTCTTAAATATAGACCATACTCGTTGCACACACTTCTGAGGACCCTGTGTCTTCCAGAGAAAACCATGTCTACCACAGGAACTTGTTTCCTCTTCAGAGTGACCATATGTCAGTGTGTGTAGGTGCGTTTGCTGCCCACGTGTCACCATGAGTCAGCTGATGCACACAAAACCATCCTAACAAAAAGAAATACGTTATCAGATAATAATTTCTCAGTCCCCCCTCCTTCCAGGAATAACTCCATGCTGATCTCACTCTGCATGAAGCTTTAGTGACCTCTGCTGTTCCTGTCCGGATGACGACCAGCTGACTCACCACTACCTGTGTCAACCAGCTGATGACACAAGAGAAAAGATATTGGACAGATAAAAGGCAAAGCTGCCAAATGGAAATCTATAGAACAGAAACTGATAAATATATCATTAATAGAAAACGTAAACCTGTTAATAATTATCAAATTACACTAATTGCCAGGGTAACAGTACCACTGAACATCTGGGAAAAACATACTCAAAGGCAAGAAAATAAAATAAAAAAACAGACAAATGTTACACTGGATAATGATTCAGAATTCATACCTGTTAAATTAGACAGTAGATTCATTAACAGAAGTAATGTAGGTTTTAATTTATTTTCAATCATAAAATATAATATAATACAAATTTCCAACAACTTAGAAATTAGTTTAATGTAGAAAAACATGACCCTGTCTGCTGTACTATCTTTACTTATTTTATTTGGTTCCTTGTAAAATTCCATGAATAAAAATAAAACCGTTGGTATGAATGCACCTTATAAATTAGTTTCATTGCCTCACTGAAAAAAAAAAACAACATAAACAGCCTGAGAAAGACAAATTCTCAGATTTCAGTTCTTTTTGTTGCAAAAAACTATTTCAATAAATAACAATCAGTGGTGCTTATTTTCTAAACAGGCACATCCATTAATTGCTATAAAATTTGTTTTTTTATATATAATTTCAGTGTGTTCAGTAGCATCTAAGCAGTAATTTGCAACTTTCTGTTTGTCTAATGTTTAAGGATTTGTGCTGATCTAAATCAAACAGGAAATCACAACATAGAAATATAAAACATTTATGGGTCTTTTTTTTATTTGAAAACTGATATTACTTAAACATTGCATTACTATTTTATTATTTTTCATTTCCAAACAATATGAATTGTATTGGACTTCAATGTTGCTACAAACCTAAATATGGCTGAACCCACAGTCAGAACAAATATTGGAACATTCACAGGAGTTAAAATGAACAGGACAGGATGAGGAACCACATTTATCTCACACAGAGGCTATAGCGAGATATCAGTATTATGTCATGATGAAATCAAGCATATTATTACTTTCGAATATTCATAATGTGTTGTCGCAGAGTCTCAGTATCTTCTTTTGAAATCTCACTAACATAAACCAAGTACAGGATGTGTCTCAAACACAGTCAGCCACAAAAACAAGTGTTTTTAGAAGCTTATTCTGCATTTTCAGTTATAGCCAGGGGCGGAGCTAGATGGGGGGCCAGGGGTGGACATGGCCACCCTTGGCCAATCATTGGCCGCCCCTCTGGCCACCCCTACCATTTTGGTAGTTAATTGGTGCACATCCGTATAATAACATTAAAGATAAGTACAGAATTCATGCTCTTTTCAGAACTACATTTTGTGTCATTTATGGGGTAAAATGATAAAAATAAAATGATGTTTCTGCAAGACATTTAGGAGTCTTCGGTGAAATCATAGATAAATAACTATTTTAATAAAACCGTATTAAATGATCAATATCGATATTTGTAATTATAAATATCAATTTTATGCAGAATGATTATCGATAAAAATAGGAAAGTAATGTCGATGGAAAAGATGTTCGCCCCAGAAATCTAACCTGAAAGAATTTTATCCACTATACCTTTTATCCAGAAAGCATGGATATTTAAATATGTACGTCTGTTTTTTAGCAAAGGCTGAAGGAAAGTATATTTTGTCTTTATTTAGAAAATGTGGATGTTTTGCTTGTTACTTTTCCTATTGGAACAGTGTAGACTGGCCCTGAGTTTTTTTTTTCTTTTTTTTTTTAACAGTGTCCTGTTTGGCAATGTGGCAATAAGAATAATTGTCTTGATGCCAAAAAAGAGCCCAACAGATTTTGCTTTCACAATTGGAGCAGCACGGCTATCGCCATAGTGTTCTGCTTGATTTATGCATATAAATAGCTTTATTATAATCATGCAGTAAGTATTACAGATTATATGGAAACTGCAATGTAAGTAGAACAGGAAAGGAAAAACAGGAAAAGGGAGAAAAGACAAAAGAAAGAGGAGATAAAAGGGAGACAATGATAAAATGTCTCCAGTCTGCTTCATCACCTGCAAAGGATATAGCAACGGATATAGTATAGATGGCTGGTTATACTCCTGCAGCAGTGTGTCGCAGTAAGCTTGACACAGACATTTTTTATTTATGCCCAGTATTGAAGCGTGGTCTGCGCTTTAAGCTGTGGGTCTAGATACGGCCGAGGCGGTGAGGAACTGGGGGCGAGTTTAGTCCGACAACAGAGGGACATGATAGCAAAAAAGAGCGGGGATCCAGGTGGAAAAAGGGTCCCAGCGTTCTTGTGCACCTCGATCTTCTAGCTGGTCCAACTTCACGAGTTGTTTTCTGCAATTTCGGTCATAAACACACAAAAAAACGGGCCTCCTGTCTGCGACACTGTCTGAAGTCAGTCACAATCTGGTAGAGGTGCAGCGGAGCGTCTGTGGAGGGGGCCGGGACGTCTTTTTGTTCACTGCGACACCTACGCAGACGACCTAGTTTCGAAGTATAAATCAGCCTTAAGAGATACAATGACCCTGAGGTTCTTGCCTCTATCCACTTTCGACCACCCCACAGTGTACATTGGTTATTGCCTGGCCACCCTTATAAAAATCTTCTGGCTATGCCTCTGGTTATAGCTCAGTTAATTTTTGCTTCTATCACCTTCCCACCTTATACATTTCCTGCTTGTGAAAATTTAGAGAAGCACCTATAAACCCACTGATGGCTATCTTTACCGTAAGCAATAAAAATGGTTGCCTTGGCAAGAAAAAAAGAGATCTAAATCAAATCCAGGCTGCAAGATCCACCTCCACTCAGAGGAATAAAATGACTGTTATTCTTCGTATGTGTAAACCATGTAAATTCCCTCATTAATCATTTCTTACCTTCTTCATTTAAAGTGAAAACAAATGAATGTTTTTAGGCATGATTGCAAACATGATTCTGGTTGAAATGTAGTATTTTTTTTCTTGCAGAGGCATGTTGGTCCAGGCAGGTGGAGCCCTGCTGAGGTGGCCCATGTTATGTCTCCTCCAGTCAGCTCTGGTTCAAATAGCTCCCCCTGGTGTTCATCGGCAGAATTGAGCAACACTCCAAATAAAAAGCCTTGCAGGTTTACTGCACATCTGGATCAACAGCATCACTGTGTGGATTGTGTTTCTTTTTACATGGTTTTGTGTCAGAGTGAAAGGTTGTTTTCCAACAATCTGCACTCAGAAGCTGATTTCATTTGGCTGCGTAGATGTTTCTACCCATTCTCTAGCACCACATGAAATCAGTGTTCTGGGAGGTGGACCATCGGCGTATACAGACTGTGTACATTTAAATTCTGATTATGCTTTGTTACTCTGAAAACAGCTTTATCGTACTACAATTTATTAGCTTTGTCATATTTGAGGTTTGCTATTATTTTTTGTGTTTAGAGACTGTTTCCTGCTCTTTAGGGTTTTTTTTTTTACCTCCGGCTTTATTAATATATACTACATCAATCATGTTCAGTTAATAAACATTTACTCCTTTTTGGCATGCATTCGTTTTTCATTGTATACATATTTACCTCATCATATCTGCTCACTAACTAAATTGCTGTTATTGTCTGGAAGATATTTTTGTTTTAATCAATTTACCAGCACCACAGCACATAGACAATCCAGCACATAACTGCAGGGTGTAAGACGCTGGCAGGGAAAGCTTACATGGAGCGCCATAACTAAGTGGCTGGAGTAGTATACAGGAACATCTGTGCGGAGTATGGGCTGGAATCCCCAAGGTCAAAGTCATTCATTTTGTCTTCCTTAAGCCAATTCATAATCAATGTCTTGGGTTGTTTTTCTTTTTTGTTTGTTTTTTTGTCCATTAAGAATGCTAATTGGCATTAAACTTAGGAAACTTGCCTTTATTTATTGATTTTTTTTTTTCAGTATTTCCACATAACCATTTGAATAGTGAACTCCGGCTCCTATGTCTTCCTCCTTATCCTCCAAATATAAAACTGGCCATTATGGTCAAACAATTAAATTTTAGTTCATCGGACTGCAGGGCTGGTCTGAAACACTAAGTAAAGTATTTTTGAAATGTGATCTTCTTTTCTGTAAGTTTTGGATCTTCAGACAGTCAACTCTGAGACCTCTTTCCTGATATGATGTTTGTCATTCTCATGGTGTTTACACTTGTCTCTAATTGTTTCTCTTACTCCATATAAACATATGTGTTTGAAAATAAATACATAAAACATTTGAAAAAAAAAGGGTCCCTCTAAATTTCTTCTTTTTTTTGTGAAGTAAAATAGTTTTAGAGATGAAAGCCAATCTTTAACTAAGATTTTGGACCGATTTATTGTCAGTAAAGTAAATACCTGGCTTCAATATTATATATAAGATAAAAGAACTGTAGAAACATTTACAGCTGTATTCGTCTGACTGTATTTTAATTTTCTTAAGAAGAAATTTATAATATGCAAAAAATGAAAAATTTTATAGTAAATTTTCATTTTCAAAGAGCCAGACTTTAGTTAAATCTTTTTAAAGTGATATTCATCAGTCTTTTTCCTGATTTTCTGTGGTATTTTAAAGTTAATTCATGCATTTCCACTCTTTATCCTTGACCAAGATAATAAATTGTACTATATGTTCTTAAAAACTATGAACAGTGTAAATATGAAAGGAAAACGTAAAAATAATATATGAATTAGATAAAGAAGATCTGCAATAGGGAAGCTAAAAGATGTTAAACTGGATATAGCTCTCTGTTCTGCATCAACACATATAGTACTTATCCTTAAGGTGTCTGAAAAAGATTTCTTGCAAAAGAAAATAAATAGATAAAAATAGAAAAGGTCTGTTTTGTTTTTTTTCTCCCAGGAATCTAAGCATTAAAATTCAAAAAGAAAATCGACATTATTCATTTAATCTCGTATAAGTTAGCATAAATATAAACATATAAATATAGAGATAGTTGAATTTTGAATTATTTTTTTTGCCAATGTCACCTGGTACCGTTCAACGCTTGCTCCTCCCCCTTAGCGCGAGTTGGGCGGAGCAAAGCTCCTCATTGGTCCCTTTCCAATAGTCCGCCATATTCAAACTTCCGCCGTCTTCTCTGAGTGTTGTCATTGATTCCTTGTTTTCTTTGTACACCTAAAGGGACTTTTTTAAACATCTGGGCTCATTATTTTACCATAACGTTATTAATAAATATTAGTACCGCATATTTTTAAAGGAATCGACAAGCAAAATGGAGGAAAATGAGGAAGTTTTCGGAGTGACGGCGGAAAACCCCAGGAAGAAACTACGGAGGATTTCATCGAGGACGTCCATTTGCAGTGTCATCAGCGCCGCGGAGCCGTCCCCGCCGAGACTGCGGAGAAACAACTCCAAGAAGTAAGCTGCTTCCGAATAAACCACCTGTTCTCCACCTACTTACAACTTATAATACGATGCGTCGGTAAAAATACGGTTTATTAAGATATAATAACCCGAACTCGTCGAGACGAGACGGGTTGGTATTAACTGGCAGATGGTGCATTCAGGTGCACCTCGTACGTCATAGATTCCACTTAATTGCCATATAATAACCAGGAGTATTTTGTTGAATATACAAGTGGGTATCAAAGCACTGTTTTCACCAAACATTGGGGTGAGATTTTGAAATAGTTTGAACAGGAAACCCTGTCAGGGTTAGATGAGGATAGGTGCAGTTATAGGTTGGAGGTTTTCAGAGGATTTAACTGAAACAAAGTGGCAAAATGTGGAATTTTTATAGCACAGTAAATGATACTGAGTAACAATAATTGGTCTGTAGTTATGTGGAACATATTTCTTACTTTATACATTATTTTCTATATTCTGGTGATTTTTAGAGAATTTAAGTAAAGCTGAATGAGCCCTACTAAAATACTTGCATCTTAAATATACTTTAAAACTTTGCCCATTAATTATTCTCTGCAGTTCAAGTAAAATAAACAATGGGGAACTAATAAGTTATTACTGGCACTGATACAGGAACCAGTGCAATTGAAACATATGCAATAATATACACTGTATGAATATTTGGTAATTGGCTAAGGATTAAAAAGCTTCATTAATTATGTTATTAGTTACAATCAGTCTTACAATCGGCAAAACAGCTAAACAGTTCAGACCCTCTTGGAAGCTGTAGATTTTATTTAACTCATCATGACAGGAGACAGCGCTTCTCTGGATGTTTCATTTGGAAAGTGTGATGGAAATTAAGTTTTTAAAAATATTCAATGGACCAAAATAAAGATAAATGAATAAGAAGAGTAATAATAAAATGAGAACATCCCTGTGGTTTCTCCTCTACGAATCCAGGATAAATGAGCTGTTCTGCACATCCTCTCTAGACGGTATTTTCTTTGGTGGCTGATTTTTTGAAAAATAAAATGCTTCTTTGATCAGAAAATCGTTATCCCCCTTTTATCTCCTCTTTCTTTCATCTTTTCTCCTTTTCTTTTCCTTTCCTGTTCTACTTACATTGCAGTATCAATAAAATCTGTAAAACTCCCTGCATGAATTATAATAAAGCTATTTATATGCATAAATCAAGCGGAACACCACAGCGATAGCCGTACTGCTCCACTTGTGAAAACCTGTTGGGCTCTTTTTGGCATCAACACAATTATTCTTATTGCCACATCGCCAGACAGGACACTGTTAAAAAATAATAATTATGATAATAAAAATAAAAGCTGCTCATTTTATTTCAGTGTCCATACAAGGAATTGAATGATCTTGTTTTTGTAAAACTTATAAAAGTTGTAATTATTCGAGATTGACCAACTTTCTCATGATCTGTTAGTGATCGACAGTCAAAAGTAAACACATTTGTTACCTAAGTAGAAGTATAGATACTGTAGTTTAAAAACTGCTCCTGAACACACAGTATCAACTTGACCTCTTTACTCAAGTGAAAGTAAAAAAGAATGTAATTCAAAAACTACTGAAAGTATAAATCTATAAAGTAACCTTAAAAAAAAGCAGCCAGATGCCACTATATGAATTGAAAGCTTATTTTTTCGAGTATTTAGAAACGAGTAACGTTTGTTTTAGAAATGTAAGGAATATAAAGTACAGATACTTGTGTGAAAATGTAATGAGTAGAAGTCAGAAGTAGGAAGAAAAATAAGTAATGGAGTAAAGTGTACTTAAGTAGAGTAACAAAGTATTTGTACTTCGTTACTTGACACCTCTGATAAAAGGAAGGCAACTCTTTGTTGCACATAAGTTAGTATCTTTTGTGTTATTGTTGTATTTGTGATGCAGGCCCCGAATAAAAGAAAACTCCAACTAGTTTGAATCAGTCAAAATATGAATCATCAAAAGAAAATTGAAGGTCTGTATCAGCCAGGAAAAGCTTTATCAGTGTATCGGTAAATAATATTGGGTTAATAAAACAAATAATTTTTTTTTGCAGCAGCAGCAGCAGCAATCAACAGTTTGACCCCATCTGCAGCTGAACCATTATTATTTATTCATTATTTTTACCTTTATTATTATTATGCCCTATTTGCATTTTGAATTCTTTAAAAAATGAGAACAGAGCAGTAGATAAGAGATTTTATGCAGCGGCGTTCCAATGTGTAACTGTTAAAACCTTTGAGCAGTGTGCTAAATAATTTTTTCCTTTAGCACACTAATAGCTGTTTAATAGAATTTCTTATAAAGTAAAAAAAAATCAACCTTGAAAAATGAATTGAGAAAGTTACATAAGCAGATAAAAACACCAATAAAATAAAACAGAAAAAGAAATCTATAAAAGTCAAACTGGATTCCTCAGCTGAAACAAAAGCCAAATGAGAATCTTCATAAAATGTCCTCATGTGATGAACACAAGCATAAGACTGGGTCCGTTTGTTCAGCTGGCCTTTATGCCCCCCCCTCTGTGAATCCCGACACTCTATGGCTTCACTGTTCAGTCAAGAGCTGAATGTTTATATCACCCAGTCACCTGACAGTATCCTCCATATTTCAGACTGATTTAACATATCTGAGTGGAACATTTCTAGAAAATAACGTCTTTATTTCTACTGCAGTAAAAAATGGGAGAGTTTGAATATAGTGTGTGTCCCTCCCTCTTTATTGGGCCAGTTGAGCTGAACGTGATCAGCTGATCTTTACTTCT